ACTGCAATCAGAACTAATACAACTTCCAAGGTATGTAAAACGCTCCACAACTTCCAGTACCTCTCCCTGGATTGTAAGGGGCGTGTTCAGTGACTGCACGTCCACAAGCATGACCTTACACTTTGTGGGTGCAAAATGCATACCAAAGGACGGGATTGGTGCTTAGAACCTTAGCGATGGTCAGCTGGGTGGATATCCCTCCTTCAAAAAAATGTTACCTGATGGGAACGAAACTTTTTGACTATCGACTTACCGAGATGCACAAGCTAGAAGTACCCCATTCTCTCTCTTGATAGACTGCAATATAGATTCGCTGTCAGCGCACACCTCAACCACATCATTATTGGAGTCAACAACGGTCGAACCACTGAAAGGTAAGGATGAGAATAAGTGCACAATGATGAACAGCGCGCTCAGAGACTTTAGTCGAAACCGGTGTCCCAAATAGTAGTCACAGTCGAACGGCCATAAGGTACAATCTGGATGAGGCTCTAACGTGATGTATAAAATGAAGACGAACCCAGGTCGAAGATGATCATTTTTGGTTTCCTAGTCAAGTTAGAAAACAAGGAGTCATGTGACATGGTCTTTTAAGCTTCGTCTACTGGGCTCGGAAACCTTGCCCTCAAGAGAATGACTCAAGGAGTTTGTGTCGGTGAGGCTGCAAAAATGAACAACAATAGTAGTGATGTAAACATGACAAATAGTAATGGCTATTACCCCCTTACAGAGCATGTCACCCAAGAAATACCGTTTCTTTTTGCTGACCACTGGAATAATACTTTGAATTCTGGGACCTTCGAAAAGGCATAACTTAGCCCCTCCAAATCAGTAGGGGCTACCCGTGGACCTATTCATTGTAGTTCCTTCCGGTGGGGTGTCCGGATTCGAAAAATGGATGGAAAAAACCTAGGCATGTGACAACTCAGCTGTAAGAACAGCGTATTGCCGTACAGTGGTTGTAGCTGCCCCCGGGGGTGTGGGGGGGGGGGGTAGATAGGTACGCGCTGGAGGCGGCAGCTGATATAATTGATGCTTCAACATAGGGGTTTCAGTAGAATCTCACTGTTCCTAGGCATTGAAAGCAACTTTGGATGGATGAACGCCATTAAAAGGGGCGACTGGGCCATGTCTGTGTCTAACCACTGTGTCCCGTCTCGTGGTCCCCAACCAGGAAGACGGCAATGACCAGAGCTGGAAATGGCTTCTGTGCTTTCCTGCAAAGTTGGTTTGCTACATTTCCTGGGCAGCAGATACATCAGCAATTAAGGCGACAGCTTATGAACCGGAAAGTCCGTGGTTTGAACCCAAACTAAGCACCTCGGCTGCTCCTGTCTAAGCTTGGATATCCCGGCAGCAGCCCAGCCAGTGTGTTACAGCTGAGCGATTATTATAGTATACTATAATGAAACTAGGGGCTAAGATGTTCAGATTGCAGCGAAAGCCCATTATTCAAAGCGAGTTATGGTGATTCTTCCTCTTGACCTTGGAACCAGTTTGCTGTTTAATCTGTCATTCAGCGCATCATGTCCCTTTGAAATGTCCTATCAGTCGTCCTACGGTTTCAAAACCGCACAAAGAACATCATCTACGGTAGATCTATCAGCAAGACTCCTCAAGACAACAGAGCTTTATTAGGACTATTGCCACAAACGATGCAGTAAGTCGTCATCCAAATGTAGGGTGATAAATTTCACCTGAGAGGGGCGTACAGGGATGCTAAAGTGGTTAAACTGATTCAAACTATCTGTAGCAAGCTATTCTTTCACGTTCGAATATAGGTATATGTCGGGAAGCCAGCTGTCCCTAATAACCGAATATCACATTTGGATGGATATGTCACGCGCAGGCTACGGACCAAAAGAAGGCATGCCCTGGTTGGTCAGAATGCCGGCCAATCTGGATCGAGCATTTTAAGCTCGACGCTTCCTCGGTCTTCACGGAGATTCTAGCATGACGTTGTGGGACATTCTGTGATCATCCTATAAGCACAGTTGTAATAATTTCCCTTTGTCTCCTTAAAAGGCTGCCCGACGCTACCGTGTCCTTTGGTATACCATTGTGTTTGGAGCAGAAATCTAAGGACGAATATATAGGTCCACGACCGTTCAGCAAGTCACAACAATATAATTGAATCATATTTACCCCGAAATCCAGCAGTCTGACTGCCAAGTTCTCTCGATAGCATCCTTTTTAAAATTTTATGAGATTATTTTTACATTTAATAATGATGATGTTGCACAACTGCAATCATACATCTGCGTATCTGTATCATTTAAAACGTATTATATGCCCCAGTATGTTTCCTGTTATCTGTGACATGCAGAAGGCCAACCAAATTCATACAACCCTGTCAGAATAGCGCCAAACACAACACTGCCCGATGGTGACGGATGCATGCTCTGTGTCTGGAAGGCAGAAGCAACAAAATCAGACTTCCTCAGAAAGTGACAGCAGTTACCAGAATTTAGTCCACATTCTTCCCCAGGAGGCAAAATGCATCCAAGACTGTGGTACAAAGGGATCCTGAGGGGTTCAAAAATCTGTGTTTGTTCCCAGGTTCTTCCGTTTTGGAGGACCTTCTCAGTGCACGCAAGTTTAGGGTCTATGTCCGTTCACCCGTTTGCAATACCGAATTTTTTTGCCGGATATTGCTAGCACTTGTGCTTGAATTTTCTTACCCATTCCTAATCCAGCGTGTCGGTAGATAGAAATTTCCGAAGGTAATGTAACATCAAAGCAGCTTTTATATTCCAGTTATCCGATACTCTCTTTGTTCACATAATATGAAGCCCTCCATTCTCGAATGAAGGTTTCTCAAAATTCTCGGCCTATCCCGCCGCTGACAATAGTGCTCCCACCTCTGGTTCTTGTATCAGACTGCAGTAACAGACTGATAGTGTACAGATACATCAGAAGACGTATGCCACATTTCTTCTACCAGTCCGGTTGCAACAGATTAATGTCCTGCTTGTCTCGACTCCATTCAAGGGGGGACACATTGAAGCTGGTCGATATTTCAGAAGTGCCCAATAGGTGTAGCATATAGAGACCGGGGTGCTGTTGGTGAAATTTTGTGGAACGATATCCCGATGGCTTCCGGCATTCTTCGAGCAGTGACAGTGGTCTATTTCTTGAAGACATACAGACGCCATCGCCCCCAGGTCGTTCGTCGATTGAACTACCTGAGTCATTGTTACCAGTGATGTATGTATGGAACAGTCCTCCTTGCCCAGTAGATGATCCCACACATTGGGAAGTGTTACCAGGCATTTGCATCTGGCTTCATTACTGCAGCTAGTCCAGGTTGCTTTGCCTGTCGAGGTCGTCTGAAGTTAATTTCATTGCGCTCTGTTTTTGAGTCCATCAGAGTGGAGTACACATGGGGGTGAATCAACTGAGGTGGACCTCTGATGAAAAACGGGAAGAGAACCTAATACCGACTTTGGAGAGCATCGATACTTGTAACAAACCAGAGTAGGAGACCCAATTGGTCTTTCGCCATAAATGTCCTGCCACAGAGGAACTTCCTTGCTTGGACTTGTGACACCCATAGTTCGAGGTTCTCTTAACAGCTTCACGATCGAATGTAATGCAGTCTCCGACTGCAGCGAATCCGGCACCGAATCAGACGAACAGACTGAAAAGTACCGCGTAGCGAGAGGAGATGATTTGCTCCTAGCCTTACAAGCCTCGCTATCCGTGATCAGAACTTCTTATCCTTATGCAAGAATGCAGAGTTTAGGGCACAGTACTGGAGCCGGTAGTTAACCTTTCTCTAAACGTTCTGCGTTTTGTTACCTCTGATACTGTTATGTGACTGCGCACGCGTGCACAATAATCGATCCCTTCTTTGTTCTTTATCTGTCTATCAAGATTTGGGCCGCGTGCTCCCCACTGCGCCTGGTTGGGGACGCTGCAAGATGTTCCTTCCTATAAAAGTCAGTGGCGCACTTGCTGTCGGTCCCTATCCAGATTATCTGATTGAATGTCTGGAGGTGTAAGCATCTCGGTGTCCCTTTTTCGTCCACTTTTATCCTTTCCTTTACAATAAGGCTCTAAATAAATCATGGTTGTGCGGCTGCGATGGCCAACCAATGACTCACCGGAGGCACCTACCACCTAACAGTGACTGTCCGTGGCAAATTCTTCTAACTCAACTCGAAATGTTACTCAGTCCTTCGGCGACAGACCACGAGATACAATCGAATTTTTTCCTCGTAGCTCTAGATGGTCCAATGGTTAAAGTCACAAGCCTATTGACCGGCATCTCAACTGCATCTTTTCAGGGTCATGCAACTTGTAGCTCCTTACCCCTCATAGGATGCAGCGGCGGTTAGGCATCGAAACTGCGTTACAGCTGAATAATTATTCGTACTATATGATCTTCTTCGCAGCCGAAGGGTCCGCCATAAAACAAACATTGTCTTTTAACTTGTTCCCATCACCACCTTCGGTAGTTTTGAGGATGAATGTTGCACGTCGCATCTGTCGTCGTGTGTGCGGCCAACGCAAAGATGCTTCAGTTTCACATCCCATTGGTGGTGCAGGTGTCGCAGAGACCATGCTCACTGAATAGGACATATCAGTGCCAATCCCTGCCTTCAAAAAGGGTGCCCAAAAACTGAGCTAGGGCGTTCATGGTGCCGACGTGGGGGCTATGGCATCACAGTTGCTGGTTCCTTGAACCGTGATCAGAACTTCTTATCCTTATGCAAGAATGCAGAGTTTAGGGCACAGTACTGGAGCCGGTAGTTAACCTTTCTCTAAACGTTCTGCGTTTTGTTACCTCTGATACTGTTATGTGACTGCGCACGCGTGCACAATAATCGATCCCTTCTTTGTTCTTTATCTGTCTATCAAGATTTGGGCCGCGTGCTCCCCACTGCGCCTGGTTGGGGACGCTGCAAGATGTTCCTGGTAATAAAAGTCAGTGGCGCACTTGCTGTCGGTCCCTATCCAGATTATCTGATTGAATGTCTGGAGGTGTAAGCATCTCGGTGTCCCTTTTTCGTCCACTTTTATCCTTTCCTTTACAATAAGGCTCTAAATAAATCATGGTTGTGCGGCTGCGATGGCCAACCAATGACTCACCGGAGGCACCTACCACCTGACAGTGACTGTCCGTGGCAAATTCTTCTAACTCAACTCGAAATTTTACTCAGTCCTTCGGCGACAGACCACGAGATACAATCGAATTTTTTCCTCGTAGCTCTAGATGGTCTAATTGTTAAAGTCACAAGCCTACTGACCGGCATCTCAACTGCATCTTTGCAGGGTCATGCAACTTGTAGCTCCTTACCCCTCATAGGATGCAGCGGCGGTTAGGCATCGAAACTGCGTTACAGCTGAATAATTATTCGTACTATATGATCTTCTTCGCAGCCGAAGGGTCCGCCATAAAACAAACATTGTCTTTTAACTTGTTCCCATCACCACCTTCGGTAGTTTTGAGGATGAATGTTGCACGTCGCATCTGTCGTCGTGTGTGCGGCCAACGCAAAGATGCTTCAGTTTCACATCCCATTGGTGGTGCAGGTGTCGCAGAGACCATGCTCACTGAATAGGACATATCAGTGCCAATCCCTGCCTTCAAAAAGGGTGCCCAAAAACTGAGCTAGGGCGTTCGTGGTGCCGACGTGGCGGCTATGGCATCACAGTTGCTGGTTCCTTGAAAGCTGGTTGAACATTAATGGGGCCAGATCCATGAAAACGGAGCTGGGCTTCCTTTTGCAATCGGGTAAATCGGCCGAGTTCATTCCCCAAGATATTAAAAACAACACATCCGGCCACAGAAAAGGTCATCTTTTTCTGTTTGCAAGCTGTCAATGACTTTTTTGATCATAAAAAACAATAGTAGTTTTGGCAGAGCAAAGATACCCCCATGAAGTTGTGGCTCTCCCTAGAGCGCTGTACGTCAAATCTCATGGAATCACGGAGGTCCGCGGAAAGCTCCCACTGTTAACTGCGGCCAGTTGTGTCAGGTAGTTTTTCAGTGTCCCTTTTTCAATACAATCAGCTTTATAATTATGGATGACAAATCACTCCTCTCAATGTCTGTCGAGTCATTTGCTCTTAGAAACCAAGTAAGCAGGCAGAACAGCTCTTCTTAGATCTAATGCAAGATTTCAGGCGCTGAGACAGCAAGGAAGTTTAAGTGAATCGGCCCATGTGCTCGGGTGATGCCATACTTCCTGGCCTCAATAGAACACCGCCCATGGCTTTGTGCGAAAGGTTCGCCTTGTAGGCCAAGGGTATAGCCAAAACGCAACTCAGTCGGCCTGTGTTAGCACAGCCTAGACTAACCGTGCTGCGATAGTTGAGAAATGATTTTATTCCTAGCCAAGTTCTCATGAGCGCTTAGGGCACCTTGGTGCAACCCTTTAGCTGCCGGAAAAACCTCCCCATCAATCCGCTGAGAACCGGGCGGCACTTGATAATGCGAACGCGTTTGGTACCCAGTGCTCATAAGCCAGAAATGCTTTGAGGAAATTCATCTAACTCCATTTTATCAGCCATACATCGTGTACCATGGATACACCGGTTTCGGATGCCGCAGTCGTTATCGCCAGAATGTGAGTGTGAGACTTACAGGCTAGTCTTGGAGGCGATGGACGTTCATTTGGTTCGGCAAATGGTAGACACGCATTGACGGCAATAGCTTTGATGCATGAGCGATACTGGGTGCACGGTTTGGCCATTTACGCCAGCGTCATTAATCATCCGTGAGTTGAGCCCGGAGATTCCCATCCAGAGAGGGAGCAGTTGTCGTTCGGGCTCAGTTTACCGGCATGCGGTCTTATATTTTGTTACTAGGTTATGCACTGCCCACCCCTTTGTCGCTTCCACTAAGCACATGGCCGGGCGAGAACGGATCCTCGCAGCAGACGGTCTTGTAAAGTGCAAAGTACTTGTTTTAGCCGGCAAATCTATAGAGCACGAGTAATTCATCTATCGCAGGAGATTTTTTCCTGCCTAAAACCATCTCATCTCCAGTCGGTCCACCGAATCTTGTACGGATACGATTGCTCAGGCGAGAAAAACTCCTCTGCCGTGTGGATCGGCCCGTCTGCCAAAATGAGGTTATGGCTGGAACTATCCCGGTCTTCAGATGTCAGTTTACACTTCACATGTGTGAAACACGCCTTGATAAGAATTTAAGGCGAAGCACCGACGCAGTTTTGCTTTACGTAGGCACAGTCACCACCGCACAGCCGCCACTCATTTTCTCACATACAAACATAAGGTTTCCAGGTCTCTGTACGATTGGTTTCTGATAAATTGACGGCTGACCGAAGAGGCGTTGGGCACCTGCAGGGCTCTGCGGAAGTATAAATCAAGGTAAATCAAGGTTATATCTCTGCGGAAAAATCAAGGTAAATCAAGGTTATGTCGGTCTAAAAAGCATTTTGCTTTACAATGACCAAAGGATATTGGTGTGTGTATGTATGTAGATAAACGGAATGATATGACATATATGTTCTATTGTTTGTAATCTGCATCTCAAATGTTGATGAGGGAAGTTGGGTGAGATCTTATGTATTCGTCAAGCGAATGTTTGAAAGTCTCGAGGTTACCACAATCCACAACAGATGTTGGTAGTTTGTTCCACGTGAGGGATACGCGGACTGAAAAAAAGTAGCGCCGACAGTTAATGCGGGAACATGGAATGTCAACGGCCAATGGATTCCGTCGGGTCTGTCGGGCCAAATTAACTGTGAACAAATGTTTTAAAGGGTGATTAGGGGTGTTTATTATCTTGAACATCAGGATGAGGTCTCCTCGTATACGCCGATAAGTTAAATCAAACAAATCGAGTTTACGTAGCCTTTCACTGTAGGGAACGTTTCGGAGGCCAATGACCAGCTTGGTCGCGCGGTGGTAGATACGCTCTAGCAGTTGTGTATCCTTTTGCAGCCATGGAGACCAGGCTTGGATCGCGTATTCCATTGTCGGCCGGAGATATGTGTTCATGATAATAGGGAGAATTTCAGGCGTAAAACGATAAAATATTCTCCTAAGCATCCCGAGCAGTGCCGAGGTCTTGCGATATACTGATAGACAGTGTTTACTCGGCTTCAGGTTGCTAGAAATCCAGACGCCGAGGTCTTTTTCCTCAGCCACCCATTCCAGTTCATTGGATCCCAGTTTGTATGGGAAGTGGTAGCTCTTCCCCAGATTTATGAGTTTGCATTTCTGGAAATTCAGCGGCAGCCGGTTTTGGATGGACCATTCGTCGATTCTTTGCAGATCTTGCTGTAGCGCATCACAATCAGCCTTTCCATGAATTTCAGACCAGATTTTTATGTCATCAGCAAAAAGTACGGTTTTGCACTGCAGAAGTTTCGGCAGGTCATTCATGTATACCAGGAACAAAATTGGACCAAGAACCGAACCCTGAGGGACACCACTTGTGGCGGCAATTTTATCGGAAAACGCTCCATCGACACGAACTTGGACCGAACGGTCACTCAAATAGTCTTTCAGCCAGCTCAACAGATTTCCCGTCACGCCATACATTTCAAGTTTCCGAAGAAGGATACTGTGATCGACTCGATCAAAGGCTTTGGATATATCCAAGTAACAGGCATGTACAGTAACTCCCGCATCGACTGCTCGTGTCCAGTCATCGAGTGTCACGAGGAGATTGGATAAACAAGAACGATTCTGTCGAAATCCGTGTTGTTTATCGCTCAACAAGGAGTGAATTTCAAGGTGCGATTTCAGGGCTTCTGCTATAATTCGTTCCATTACTTTTGATATTACTGGGAGAAGAGTGACAGGTCTGTAGTTAGATGCACACGTTCTGATACCTCCTTTGAATATGGGGGCTATTATCCCGCATTTCCAATCCTCTGGTACCAACCCTTCTTCCAGAGAACTAGCGAACAGTTTAGCCAGAGGATAGCTAAGTGGTTCAGCGCAGTGGCGCAGAAGCAGTGGTGTAACGCCATCCCCACCAGGTGAAGTGTGTACCTGTAAGCCGCGAAGGTGTTTGACAATGTTAGCCCGATCAATATGCACGTCCGATAAAGTTTCGTCCGTTAGTACCTCCACAGTTTGTATAGGAGCGCGGGTATCTTCAGGAGAAAACACGGAAGCATAAAATGTGGCAAGGGCATTAGCTGTTTCAAACGCATTTGCAGTCATTCCCGATTCTGTCTTTATGGCAGATATACCTGGTTTAACTTTAGCCTGCGCATTCACGAATTGATACAATAGTTTGGGGTTTTTCTCCATCCTAGTCATCAATTTGAATTGCTGTTGTAGTTTGTCTTCCTTGATTAGTGACGTGACTTTATTCCGCAACTTTCGGTACGACTCCCAGTGTTCGTCGGTCCGGTTCGTTTTATATTGAAACCAAGCGATGTTACGTTCTGTAATCCATTTTCTTGTTCGACTCCTCACTGTGAACATCTGTACGCAGGTGGCTCGAGGCACCTCTGTCGAATTGTCTGCAATCAAGGTCTGCAGCTGGGCTATGAATGATTTCCATCGCCTATTAGTATTTTCGTGTTCGTCATCCAGCATATTTAGGTCCTGGAAGGCTGAGATTATCTCCCGAAAATTGGTCTTCAGAACATATTTATGTGGGTCGCTTAAACGTACGGAGGAGCAAGTGAAATCGAACAAGAGCACGAGATGGTCGCTCTTTCCCAGTGGTGGTCTATATATGATTTGTTCAACCATAAATGGCTCACTAGTTAGTATAAGGTCAAGTAACGAAGGTTGATCTGTTCCACGAAACCTCGTACATTCGTTAACATGGTTGAATAAAGGTACCAAATCTAACAGCTCCTGAAAGTGTGCTTCAACTGAGTTGAGCGAGTATGAAGCGACGAAAAGCTGGGGAAAATTGAAATCACCCATAATGAGAATGGGAATGGAGTAGTAAGAGCATACGCGACGGATTCGGTCACATATACTGAATGTGTGAGTGTCCATTGCGGTTGGAGAGCGGTAAATGACACCAATAATGCACGCATCTATCTTGTTTGACTTCAGCATACACCAGAGGGTATCTTCAAGGATGAGATTAGCGTCAGGTATTTCAGCACATTGAAGACTACTGTCATAATATAGTGCAACTCCACCGCCATGGGTGGCTCGATCGTGTCGTATAACACTCATGTTTGTAATTTCGATTTCCTTGTCCGATATTTCCGCTTGCAACCAAGTCTCAGTCACTGCTACCAAGCGAGGTTTGTATTGGTCGCAAAAGGCGTTTAATTCTGCCGCTTTACTGGGCAGACATTAAGCATTGGTATAGTGGCACTTAAGGCTAGTCGTTGTGGTTAATTCTGCTGTGCTGCAACGCACGACTCCCGGGGAGCCAGCAGTGATTCGTTTTTTGGTAAATCGTTTTTTGACCCCAATTTTTCCATCATAGTCTGAATACCAACCGTGGTTTGTTGGTATTCATCAGTGATCGTTTGCGTTTGAATAGTTCCTATTTCGCCAGTCCGAATCGTATCAGCAGATGCGTTTGAGCGTTTAGGTGAGCTTATTCTCAGTTCCCTCGGAAGCAAATTACGGTGTCTTCGCCACTGAGCTTTCACCAAGTTGGCCATT